GGTGTCAAATATTATTTTAATTGGATATGGCTTTGCCATATGCGACATATATCGGTGCCATATCAGACGCGTATCTGTGTCCGACACGTATTCGATATAACACGTCTTCATAAGTAGGTGTATTAGTGCAGCATAGTTTATAATGTATGTTATAATAATTTTTCTGTAACAAATAATTTATATTATTTAGAAAATAATTTTTACACTGTATTAACCTTATTTGATATATGTATTACCATTATTTTATGAATTTTAGTAACTTTTTACTAAACATATAATATTAGTACATAAATATTTATTAAATTTAATTCTAATTGGATGTAGTAAGATTATAGAGTTTTTTTTTGTCTATATTCAATTTGTTATTAGTTTTGCAAGATTTGCTATTAAGTTGACTGTATAAGGGCCTAATTTAGTTGGTGTACATTGGTTGGCTAATGGGAAAGCTGAGATTGCTGGATGTTATATTGGATTCCTGGGTAATATTGGGAGGACAAAATTTGGTATGACCAAATCAATATTTTCAATTTTAATTTCATTTTTTTTTTCAGCAGGTGCATGATATTGATGTGTAAGCATGTGTCACATTTAGGAGTCTTGTCCTCTTAAGAATGTACTAATTCTACTTTTTCAATAATAAAAAAAATATATTATATAGCACAACTAGTTGTTGAGTAGATTGTTTTTGGGTAATAAACACTTTGGAAAACTTTATGCCATATTTATTAAGGGGATATATTCTAGAACGCTAAGCCTAAACAAAGAGTCGAGGTTCTGATACCAATTGTTGGATAATTATGACACCCTAAGAAGGGGTGGTGAATTGGTGTTTAAATTTTTTCATTAAATAAAATAGTTAATATAATTTTAATTCTTATTAATAAGAGTATAAACTAGCACATTATTTTAAAAATTTGCAAATAAAGTAAATGATAAAGTTACAAAAGTGCAAGTAAAAAAAATAATAGGCACAATATTTTTATGTGGTTTGGCTCGAGCAACAATTTGGCCTACATTCATATTAGCCAATTTTGGGCTAGAAATCCACAAAATCTCAAATTTGTCTTATAAATCTCACTTCTTTAAATAAAAAAAATTACTTATAACCTATGTGCTCTCCTATACGGATGATTACAATCTAGTCTAAGTATAATATGAATTTCATTATGCCAAATGACTCAGTTTTAAAAAAAAAATACAACTTATTGTGGACAATACAATATCAAATTATATTGCAATACTACAACAACAACAACATCAAGCCTTTGTCCCATTACGTTGGGTTGATTACATGAATCCTTTTTCTCCATTGTGTCTTGTTAAAAGTCAAATTCTCATTTAAATCTAATAAAGAAAGATCATTTCTAATATTTTCTAACCAAGTCTTTTTATGTCTAACTCTACCTTTCTTAACATAAGTCAAATCTAATACCACAACTTTCTTAATCGGGTCATCGGAAGGCCTCCATTTAATGTGACCAAACCATCTAATGCGAATCTCTCTAATATTATCTCTAAGGATAAAGCCACTTATCCATCTGAGCATCCTCTTCTCTGCAACATTTAACTAAGTATTATGCTTCTCTTTTAATGGCCAACATTCGGCACCATAAAGCATTGTAGGTCTCACCACCATCTTATAGAATTTTCCCTTAAGTTTGAGGGGGCATTTCTATCATACAACAAGCCTGATGCATTCCTCCACTTCAATCATCCAACTTGAATTCTGCTGATAATATCCCCATCTATTTCACCATCACTCTGAACAATAGATTGTATTCTTTTTAATGACCTAGTCGCCCAAAGTCACAATCCCCTCACTAGGTCTATTGCTACTAAAATTACACTTTATATATATTCAGTTTTAGATCTACTCAAGCGAAAACCTTTAGACTCTAAGGTTAGCCTCTATAATTCAAGTTTACCTTCAACTCCCTCTCTAGTCTTATCAACAAGATCAAATTATATTGCAATAAATTGATTAAAATATTTATGATGATTTTATAAAGTATTGATAATCATCTTACCACTTGTAAAGGAATATTAAATTTGCTCACTACAAAATATATTTATATTTTGACTTGTATGTATAATATTTCACTTAAAATATTTTTCTGGTTGATTTAAAATAGTACTCTTTATAAAATGGATATAATTTTATTAAGACATCTACAGTTAATACTTTCAAATATGAATTAGATTTAAAAAATAAATATATGCCAAAAATAAAGAAGACTTCTTTGCTAATTTTATGTATGAAAGAATTTTAATTCTAAAAAACTTAAACTACGATGGTCAAATAATATTTCACTAAAAAATAAAGAATTTTAAGAAAATACAAAGTAAAAAATAAAAGAGCAGCAAAAAAGATTTAGAGAATGAAAACAAACTCAGTAACATCAAAAGAAGTTGCTCTATTGAGTGCATTGAAGCTTTGGAACCAAAGAGATCTTGCAAGATGTATAGCACTTGGAATGAGAATCTTGATTTTTTATCTCAAAATTTAGCTTGAAAAGAATGGAAGAAGAGAGAGCATATATTGGAATTTTCAACTTTAGTGCAACCTGGAGATGAAGAGAATGAAAAGTATTATAAAAAATATAATACACGCTAATTTTAAAGAAAAATTATTAATATAATATTATTTTATCAAGTAATAATATAATATTTAACAAAAAAAGTTATATTAAAAAATTATTAGATTCAAATGGCTAGAAAATGATTAGTCATATGGGTAATTTATATAGCTATTTTTAATGCAATATGGTTTCTTTAACCGCACTTTAAGTTTCATCTGGACTGCAACTTTAATTACTACAGATTTAGCACGAATTCAAGTTTATGTGGCTCAAATTGTATAATTTCAATTGCGCAAAATATATAGTTCATTTGATATTTTGTTTTAGATAAAACCAAATCAAAATTGATTTAGTGAAGTTCAGTAGGTTCTGTTTTGATTGTGGATCCATGTTTAGTAGGTTTGGTTGCTATTTTGTAAATAGGTTCAACCTTCTAGTGAATTAAAGATGGCCTAATTAATACCACTATTTAAGCTAGTCTATCAACGAGTGTGTGGTTTGCGTTGAAGAATAGGAGATGACGGATAATCTACATCAATTCTCTTTTGGTGACATGAACACCTGTTTGGAGATTGTAGTTTGTCAAACTTGTCCAAGAGATCTAGGGCTAAGCATGCCAGTTCATTTTATTTGATCCATCGGTTATTGGTAGGTTGGCGATTCCTCTGATGAATGAGGTAGCGATGCCATCCAGAAGGTTTAATAGCGTCCTCATCAATCAAGATCTGCTTAATTTCAAATTAAGTTGTCGTTAATGGTAGCATGGACAGTGCTATAGCTAGACTATGAATTTAAACTTCTCATGTGGAAGAATCTCTAGGGAAGTCTGATTGCTCGAAAGTTCTGTGATAAGGTAATTTATTTTCCCATTGAATAGATGATGTCCTTTTGGGGAGGCAGCTTTAATACATACATATTTGTCTCAAGTCTTCTAAGTTCTAACAAGTTTCGAAGGACCAAAACCTTGGTATGGGGTTCCTTGAATATTTAGTAGAATCCAGATGAGGCACATGCCAATTATGTTAGTCTCCTTCATGATATTCTTGAGCACTTTTATGAATATTTACTTGAGTTTTCTACCTGTCCTTGTACTTCAATTTGATACTGAATGAGGGAACGTTAGGACGCAACATAGTAAGTATGCCTGGTGAATGCTTGCAGCAGAATCTGAGTTTGCATGCATGGAAGGAAATGAGATATACATGCTTCCTGAGGTTAATCCATGAACCACTTCAGAGAACATTTTACGTTTAGTTCTGTTAATCATACTTATGTGCAAATTCATCATTTGGTAAATGTGAACTCTATTTTTTCAGACTATTCCTACATGACAATTAGTGAAGTTACCGATCCCATCATTTGCTTATGGATAGAAAGTTGAACAAGCTGAGGGTGGTGTGAAAGGCTTTCATATTTTTATATAGATAATTGATTGATTGAACATCTGGCCAGAACAACAGAGATATATAGGCTTTGTCGGTGAACTATTTTCTTGAATAACAACTATGTGAAAAGAGAGGCGCTTGTAGTACTAGATTATGGAATGAACTTGCTAGTTTGGATGAAAAAGAGATCTAAGAGAACTATGGTTGAATCATGCAACTTTGCACTTCGAAGCCAAATCAGCCTAGTAGGTGACCCAATGACTGCTCCCCTCTCGCAAGTGAACAGTAAGGATAGGCAACGGAATTCAAAGGCTAACCTTCTGCTTAATAGTTTTACTTTTTTAACTTGTTGACCATCATAACTACATCTTATATAATTGTAGGCCAATAACATAGAGATCTTCTGGCAGATGAATTTTCTTATAACGACCATGGTGACTTGCTATATGGTTCAAATGCAATTCCCAGACTAGAAACCTACAGATTTGTTGGGGAGGCAAATTTGAGATCAGCTGGGAGATAACGGCTATTTACTAGGTAATTGCCAATGGCAAATTTGTCATGTGAATTAGATGAAAGCAAAGTATTCATTCTTCATACGCTCGTTACAAGGGACAATAATGGTCGTAGTATACCCGACTGAAGGTATCAATTGTTTTATCGTTAATACAGGTACAATGTTTCAAGATTAAGTATTCATGAAGAAACTCTATTCATTTTGCATTGTAAGAACTAGGTTTCTTTTATGATTGAGATTGTAAATATTCAAGGGCTCTCTGAAGGACAAGCTCTTTTGCAATCAATAACTGATGCTGATTGCTGACTGCGTTTGACCTGGTATCCTGCTATATTTGACCTTCTGTGTTTGACAGAATAAATGGCCTCTGTAGGCATCCATGCTTTGCAGTCTTTACCACGCTACAATTTTGCACTCTAATTATTTAGAATTTTCTTTTTCCCCTGAAATTGCTGAGATTTCCGTGGCTCATGTGTTCATATGTTCCATTTTTTTCATTATTTGGGTTTATTTATTCAGAAAGAAGAATGATGGACATGCTACCGACGATAATAATCTTAAGATGGAACCTTCCATTCTTTCAGTTGAAGTAAGTACAAATTTGTCTCTATTATTTGATTTAAAGGAGATTTTGATTCTTAACAAGACAATGGAGAAAAATAATTCATGTAGCCGACCCCACATAGTGGGATAAAGGCTTGATGTTGTTGTTGTTATTGTTGTTGTTTTTTTGTGCTTTTGGATTCATAGCATTATCTTGTACTTGTTTTGTTAAACCTGCTAAAGAATTTTTATTTTATTTCCCTAATGCTCCATCCGGCTCCAAGAAAGACTAATTGTTTTTCTCTCTCTTCCTTCATTACAGGGAAAAGGGTATCCAGTGGAAATTCATTATGTCCAGGAGCCTGTCTCTAATTATTTGCAATCTGCTGTGGACACGGTGCTTTTAATTCATGAGAAGGTTGAGAGTTTATCATGCATGAGATTTATAACTAAAAGATTTTTTTAGTCTGAAATTTACATGAACAAACAGCTGAATTTGATATATTTAACTTGTACTATCCAAGTTTGACATTGTTGTTAGGATAAGTTGTTATGATAGTGATGTTTTGATATCATAAGAAAACTTTCGTTTTACTCTTTTTCTCTAGCCAGGATACGTTCTTTCCATTTCATGCTTTTAATTGTCGAAGTTTGATTTGGACTTCTGTGGAATATTGCAGGAGACAGTTGGTGATGTTCTAGTGTTTCTTACAGGTCAAGAAGAAATTGATGCTGCTGTGCAACTACTTGTAGAGAAGGCAAGCGATAAAACAAGCCACTTTTCTGGTAAAATTGTTTTAAGTAGCCTTACAGTGGCTTATTTTTGAAAAGAAATTGTGAAAACTGTTAATAATGGCATCTTGACGGAAAATAATCATGAAATGTTTGAGAAATCCATAAAAGCTCCAATAATTTATTGTTGCGAATTATATATTGATTCAATCAGTTAGGCTAATTCCGTTGGCGAAAGTTTGCATCATTCTCATAATTAATTTATTGAGTATTGTCATGGTCACTTAAATTCTTTCGGATGATGAAACATCTCTTTGAATAGCTAGTTATACTATGATTGGAAATGTAATTATTTGCAAGGTTGTAAGCTTATTGTTACACGTGTTCCTTTTTATTTTCTCTCCTTGTCATCATTTGATCTGGGATGGTCTTTTGGTCAATTAGCCAAGTATGGAAGGGGGCAGTCATTCCAGTGATCTCAGAGCTCATGTAATTGTTCTGCAATACAGCTTCATAATGACAATGATGTATGACTAAGTATGTTTTAGATGAATGCGAGCACGTCTTAGATTAAGAGCAAATAATAATTAAAACAATTAGCCACTAAACGACGATAGAAAACGAATGAGAGGTAACTACGCTTAGGCCAAATTACAAGCTAGAAACTTGAATTACGAAATTAATTTAGAAATTCAACAACATGCAAATCAAGTAGCTATTCAATAAAATCCATAATCTAACATTGAGATAAGTAATATAGAAAGCAAACTCAAATCCTATGTTTACTAAGCGGAGGCAACGAGCGAAGCTCGAAGCCTTGCAATTAAATCACCACCTACAAGGTTAGCGGATTAATAAGATAAATGACTAGGGGAAGATGTTTACCCTAGCCGAGGTCCAGAAATAATTTGCCATTGAACGTTGGCAAGTTGTTCTCCAATTGCCTCGGATAGTGTGAAGATTATGCAGTCCAAGTATTCTTCGACAGAGTGGTTGACTTCTGGGTTGACTTCGAAGGTTGACCGAAGAATGTCGACGTTGCCTTGCTCGTTGTAAATGAATCTGGAATCAAGTTCGGGATTGGCCATTCATTGATTCCAAAGGGTTGAAATGTTTGAAGGTGTTCGTCGTGGCTTCCCTCGAAGGCTCAACTAGAGAGAAAGAAATTTCTCTCAAGAGTTGTAGTGGAGAAGAGGAGGGAGGTGGCCGGCCTAGTGGTAGAAGATTAGGGCATGGAGATTCAGAAATTTTGGTGGAGTTAGAGTTGGGTTTAAGAGGGGATTTTGGAAGGAAAAGCTGGGAATAATATCCAAATCAAAGTCTATTGAATTTGGAAAGAAGTTTAAAGCAGGTTTGAAACATGGAGGGGGGCGGGTGGAGTAGAGGGGCTTGGGATTTAATTCCAAAAGTAAAGTGGTGAGTTTGGAAATAAATAAAGGAGGTGGGGTCCTTGGGGATTTTCGGCCAAGAGAGAGAGAGAGAGGGGTGATTTGAATTATTTCCAAGAGAGTAACTTTACTTTTGGAACCAATTCCAAAGAGGAATTGAATGGGGGCCGGCGGCATAGGGTGAAAAGGGAGGGGTTTATGGAAGCATTTAATGCTTCCTTAAGTTAGGGGGATTAAATTGGAAAGAGAGATTTCATCCCAATTTAATTTAAAATTCAAATAGGAAGGCATTTGGAAACTTTCCTAAAATAGGATTCATATGTTAGGTAATAATTTCAAATTCAAATAGAATTGAATTTGCTAATTATTCGAGCTAACTAAAATCAGCAAGTTAATTTAGGAAAGGTGTAATGGCAATGATGATGAAGGGAAAAGCAAGGGAAGGGGTCGGCGGTATGGGGCTTGACCGTGGATGGTGGTGGAGGGAGATTGGATCGGGTGGAAAATGGGGTTGGGGGGGGAGGGGCTAGCCGACGGTTGAGGGTGGATGGCTAGGGTGGCTGGTGGCTTAGGGAGTGAGAAGATCCTAGGCGAACGACAAGGAGGGGAAGGGAAGAGGGGAAAGAAAGATAGAGAAGAAAGAACTACGAACGCGGACACTACTAAGATTTGTGGGTGATCTGATTTCCTCTTCAAGGGATCTCTCTAATCTCTCTCAAGCTCTCACAAGAACTCAAAACACGAGAAAAATTTTATCATTCATTCATTAACCATGAAAAGAGAACATAAGGGTTATATATAACCTCATACAAAGGACTCAAAAATAAAAGACGACGATGCCCTTTGGGCTTACACATGACCATCCTTAATGGGTAAAAAGGGAAAACAACTAAAGCAAATACAAACATAAATAAATAAAAGACAAATACATATGACAATTTAAAAATACATCGGTGCGATCGTGGCCGTAGATCGGTGGCCATGATCTACAGCCATTTCTTTGATAGACATTCCAAGCTCCGATGTCTCCATCAGACAATCTTTACATTCCTTGCATATTTTGTTCAAGATTAGGGTTGTTATATTTTTGGTTATTTAGATTTGAATGTATTAATCATTGGTAGTTGTAAGTTATAAATTGTAGGTTCAAAAACATAAACAAGTTATCAAGTTAAAATAGGAGTTTTGTACTTTTTTCACTCAGAAAATCCTAAACCCTAAACCGTATTAGACATCATATTTAACTATTACGATCATCTTTGACAAGTTTAAAAAGACTATTATAAGCAAGGAAGCAGCAAAGTTTTTTTTTTTGAGCATGTATGGAAGAATTGCAGACTACCTACGTTCATTTTTCTAGCATGGACAATATGTTCCTCAATACTTTTGGAGATTGCTATGAAGCATGATGGACACAAAGTTTATAAGGAGCATTGCCTTTCACCCATATATTGATGGTTAAACAGAGGTGGTATATAGGATAATAGTTTTATGTTATGAGGCCATAGTCTTTTGACATTTTAAAGCCTATGTCAGTAAAAAACTACTTTTAAGGGGTGCCTAGGTTTTACTGTTGGAAAAGTAGTTTCGATGTTAAGTTCTTTATGGATTTATCTGAAGAGGTGATAATTAAAAATTAAAAGTTTGATGGGTGCAATGATTTTCGGAAGGGTTTCAGAAGATCAATGAGGAGGTTGAGGAGGGAAGCCTTAAAATTTGCATGAGAATACAAAGCTCGCCACTACAAGTATCACATTGAATGCACAATCTATGGAGGAAATTTGATTTTGGTGCATATATGGATGGATAGGATAAAAGGAGAGGATTGAACAAGTAAGTTTAATGCTATTGACTATTTCTTAGATTGTTAATAATGTGTTCCGTTTGGACTTATTTTTCAACCTAAAGATGTACTATGTGATCCATGTTTGGAAACTAAAGTTAATTGAGACTTCATTGTTAACTGGCAAAGAGGAGAGCAAAAAGCTTCTTTTTGAGAAAGATCTTAACATCAAAATGAAAGTTTCATGTTGATAGGATACATTGTAGATATGAAGATCCCCTCAGCATTAGATGGATTAAAGGAGATCTACGAAATTGCTAAGAAGGAACAAACTCCCAAACCAATCAAGTGGTCTTCTAAAGAAGAAAGAGTGTAGTTCTTCCCCCATTCAGTATTATTTGTAAAAAAAAATGAACGTTGGGGAACCATGATCCTAGAGGATCTCTAACTGAAAGACCAAGCTAGGAGTGGTCCGTTCATCTCTCTCAAAGAGGAATTTGTTAGGTTCTTTGGAATAAGTAGTTTATATACGTGCTTTGAGATTTAGGATTGGTCCCTTATTATGAGATTTAGGATTTATTTCTTGATCTCTTTTTTATTTAACTCCTTGTAAGTGTATTAAACCCCTAATTGGGGCTATGAATAAGGCAATTAAGTTTTTCTTTTCAATCTAGCCTTAAACTATATTGCTTTTCCTCATCTTGCTCTACAAACTTCTCTGTTAAGCACATCAACTATCGGTTAGCACCCTTTAGCTTTCCTTCAGAAAGGTCATTAATACTTGCCCATGACAATTCGGATGCTCCAATAGCTTTAAGATAATGGGATGCCATCAACCTCCTTTCTTCTTGTACAAGTGGGTATTGATGTTATGGGGTTGGAAAGAAATACAAGAACTATTTCCTCTATCCAAAAGCAAGCATATTACAAGTATTTTTGCTTGACATTTTTCTGTTTAACCTTTGTTCTATCATTTTTTATTCATAATTTTCCTCATTAATTTTATTTAGCTATTTTATTCAGCTCTTATCTTTCCGAAGCATTATCCATACTGTCTCTCTATTATAAATCATTTTTTACTCTTTTCTTTCTCATTTAACATATATCCTTCTTAACATTCTCATTTATGCCACACTCAACATGGCAATCAATGACTTTTTTTGCCTTACCTTCAAACCTAGATATTATAGGAATTGTAATTGCAATTTTCTATAATTAATCTTTTAGTTGTCATGATATTCTCTCATCTCTTGATAAACTTTTCCATTTTAACCAACCAAAATTTATTTTTAAAGTCATTTACTCATCTATAATTCATTGTTTTGTATATTTAATCAAGATAATTATATTTATGAAACCTAAGCATCACTTGATTTCCCATCAACATGTACTATTAATCATTAATATTGGATTCGCTTAAACTAAATCTAATGTACTTTCTCTTTGTTCTAGTGATTTTAAGCTCTTTTTGTTTTAAAAGTTTCTTCCATTTTAAAATTTTAATTTGTTTGGAAGATTACTCACTTAACACAGTCGTTGCTAGGTCCCGTCGTGGATGAGAAAAGTGGAGGGTTGTGTTAGATAGTCAACAATTAGCGTAAAACTTGTCGAATAATCCTGACATGAGTTCTTTAATATATTGTGTTACAGTTAGGGCGTTCCTTAGAAGCGACACACTGTATGACCTGAACACCACAGAGACAAATAGCAAGGGCCGTTGCAACGGCACCCGAGTGCAGTGTTAAATATGCAAGAGTTCCCACATCAGAGACAAATATGTACATAGAAGCTAGTCCATTAAATTAAAATTAGAATAAGAACTTGGAATATAAGCACCCTTACAGGTAAATTAATGGAATTAATATATATCGTGATTCATAGAA